TTTTTTAAGTTAGGGTTAATTAACTTTTTAGACCTGAAAGCCTTTATAAATATTCCATAACCTCCAGATTTAAATATGATGCTTGCCTTCCAACTAAGTAGTTTAGTCTTTAAAGTTAATACTAAACTATTTTTATCAAGATTATTAACTCGTTCTTTTTAATAGTTGGCTTGAAGGATTTTGCTACTAGACACAGAGTCGCAAGGATGCTTTGAATGTATCAAACTTAATACATTTTTGCAAGAATTATGTTAATTATGTATGTGAGAGGAATACTCCTTCTCCTCACCTTTCTGCAAACAAATTCTAAAAGATGCACATAGCTTTTTGAATAAATGCTGAATAATAGTTCACCTACAGTTAATCCACTTTTGATTTATTAAACTTTTATACTGTCAAAATATATTCAGGATCCCTGAGGACCTCATTTTGCATTTCTTTGTTGTGCAGACAGTAGAATGTTGCTCAGCTTTATGTCTGCATGTCAATATATTCTTCCTCGAGTTCTGCCAATTACATGAACCCAGCATCAGGCTCCTCTTGCCACAGGATGGCATCCAGCTCATATGCTTGAGTATCCCAGTTGAATTCTCTGAGTTCAGATCAATCACACCTAGCCTCACTACAAGTGAGGTTGGACAGTGATGTATGTAGTAGGGAATTGGAGTGTGACTGAGATTACCCCAAAGGGACATGAGAATCGGTGGGAAAGCATAGTTAACATCTTCCTGTACTGCTCCGATGGATCACAAATCACAGAATAAGTGGATGGGACAAAGAATATCTTTGTTTTTTTGTTCCATTGAAATGACAGTGTTGACATTCACTGAACGCTTACGATGAAGGTAAGATTTATATTACTGCATGAAGTAAGCCAGGTATGCTGCAAGTTTTAAGAATAAGAGCTACTTATGTAGAAAAGAGTGGCTACTTAACTGGCATGAATCACTCTGTAGGCATTTGTCTTCCAAATGTGTACACAAGACCTTAGTCAAATCAAGGCTGGTGGAGCACTGTATGCTCCTGGAGTGCTCTTGGAGTATACTTCAGTCCTTTATGTGTGGGCATATCCAAGTATTAGTGATTTTTCGCTGGAGTTTCTGTCAGCCTTCTCAAGTCCTCACTCACATCAAGTATTCAGCAGCTGAATCTCCACTGTGCCCAGCACACCACCTGGAGAAGACCTTTCTGGCTCTTAGGACCTCCCACTGCTCCTTCCACCTTATTTTTTCTGTTACTAGAGTAAACTTGTAGGAGGCTTTCCAACAGAAATAACCACTTTTCTCCAGTATTCTGAACATAAGACTTCACTGCCTCTTAGGACCTGGAGAATCTGGAGATTCACTCAGCAGCATATGTCAATCTTATGCTTTCTTTTCAATTCAAAATAGGATTCCAAAGTTTGCTATAGCAAAAATTAACTATTAAAACGGTAAATCCTTAGTTCACTTTTGGATACTGTGACTGCCCTAAATGTTTGTAAAAAGATGATAACTGATCAAGCTATTCTTGCATTCTTCCCATTTCCTTGCTGCAGCTTTCTTGATTGGATATAGAAATGCCTGTACCTGTCACCCACTCTCTCTACTGTGTGACAACTGTTTCTCTCCTATTTTTAATGCTTTTTGCTCTAATCACCATCAAGCTGAGCTGAGCTACTTCTTGATAACTGTACTTACTGACACCTTAGGTGTTTTCCACTTCAGACTGCAGGAAAAAATCTACTTCCCAAACGGATGCTCTGTTCTTCATTAACAAGAAATCTATGAGAGGCTCTACACCAGTGAGGAGCCAGTGCAAATTGTGGGGTCTGCATGGCAATGTGCTCTTAAAGATTTGTGTTTACTGTAGAGCAAGAAACTGTTCTTTCTTCCTTTTGAGCTTTTATTTGATGGCCACTGACAGGAAACAATCAGTCCTGTTGATGATCAGTGCTTTTTCATATTTACCCATTTCCTTTAGCAACAGGGCAAAAAAACAAAGACTATTTTGGAGGGATTGAATTAAAACATCAATAATGTGTGGAGAGAAGGTACATGGTGTGTGAAACTACATGAACTGAATGTGGCTTCTGGTACAAAATTGGGCCATGCAATGGGAATCTCACAAAACAGTATGTGGCGTCCCAGCCATTTCTACTTGGATTTTGTCTTCTCTGAGATGTAAGACAACATCTACTAAAAAAATACATTTAAAAAACAACAGGGATATTTTACATGTGTTGACCTGAATTTCAAAGAAATGTCTATGGAAGCTGTATTTTGTCCAAGCCTCAGACACAGAATGATTTCTTAATTGGTGGAAACAGAAGACAGATCTTTTAAAAACCTAGAAATCAAGGACTGCTAAAAACAGATACAGTGATAAAATGATTAGATGAATACCAAACTAAATGTGTGCAACAACAAGCAATCAAGAAAGCTGAAATGGGAAAAAAAAGACATTACAAACACTGTAGGGAAATAATTAACTCATCTTTGACTATCTGTCCACCGAACCCAGAAGAAATTCAAGTTATTTCTGGGTGCCTGACTTAAAATGTTTGGGAGTGTCATGCTCCAGGGAGATAGGTTTATATTACCTTGTTAAACTCCACTGTTATACAGCATTTACAGAGCCCGGATGCCCACATACTACCTACTCCTTTGAGAAGCCTAAAGAGCCTTAATGCTAATTAATTTATTCTGGGAGACATAGTTAGCAACAGCTAGCTGTTACATGGCACCCTACTGCTTAGAAGCCTGATCTCTAGGCTTTTCAAAGGGGATTTAAAATTACATCTCCTGTGACACGAGAGGCCTTTAATATCAGATTATGAGTTTCATAGGTGCTCTGTCCCTCTCATTGCAAACATGATTTAGGACATATACGACGACAAAAATGTCAGTTTTGAATGCTGTTGAATGCTCATACATGGATTTTGACAGCAGTTTCAAATATAATACTTATGTCCTCCGTGATTTGAAACTTAAGTTCTGTTTCATTATAAATAAGAGACAGACTCCCTCTTGTGTGCCTGCATTTTTTGAGCCTTGGCTCTCGAATACTGAATTCTCCCTTTTTGCTAGGAATAATTCTTGGTGTAGGTGGGTGATGGTTTCTGAATAACCACAAATAAGGTAAGTGTGAATGCTATTATTAAGGGAAATTATGAAATACACAAATTATGCTAGTTTGCAGAATGCCATGAACCTGTCCACAGCACAGGTTGGTTACTGTTGTGAGCATTACTGTGCTGTTTATTTGGCAACCTGAAACAGACCAAGCAAGGCCACACAGATTCCTATGTAACACAGAAGCTCATACTTGACACTGTAGGAGCTTCTTGTCCCTTGTGCCTGTTTTTAATCTCCAACTGTGTACAACTGAAACAAAAAGAGGGATCCGCACCACAGAAAAAGCAACAAATGGGAAAAATGATTGAAGAGTCAAAGCAGGACTGCAAAGCATGACAGATAAAAAAATTCTGCTGTGCTTGTATTTCAGATGACTGTTCCGCAGATATACAAGAAAAATCTACAACAGAAAAATAATGTTGCATAAGGAGATATGAAGAAACTGGAGAAGGGCTAACTGGTGTATATGGACTGAGAAAAATGAGCTGACAAGACAATGAAACCAGAAATGTCAGAGATGAGATGTATTACTTTTGTGGAAGATGTGAAAAAAAGGATGTAACTCACAAAGTGACAAAATGACACAGATGCACACCGTGTACAAAACAGCCCTTATTCTTCAAGAATTTTGCGTTACTCTGTACCTTCGCAGCTCTCAGCCACAGGCTGTTTGTTTGACGCTGGTTTCAATAAACATGCTGGTTGTAGGAGATATCATTCAAGGCAATAAGAGATCTGTTGATTAAATCTCACATGTCTAGCAAACTCTACAACCATGCTTAAGAATTCTCTTGAGACCAGTAAGTAGTTCCCCATCTCTAAGACAGGAAGGGATAGAGATCTGCAAGCAGAAGTCTGCCAATCATTGTCCTCAATATGAGGCAAAAATAAAACAAGAGTTATCATGAGCCTTATCTAAATTGACCTGCAAAACTGTTGCCAGTAGTGTCTAAATCTTCAGAGGCTGTAGGGACTGTGCTCCACATTGCCTGTGTTACACCCCTTGTCTCTGGTGACCGATTCAACTCAGTATGACTGTCACTGAGAGTGTGTGTGGCATATTCTTGCCCTACTCTGGGACTAGGCCTTGCAACTTCATTTTTTAATATTGCCATCATCAGCTATTTCCAATTTTTTCCCCTGATGTTATGTTTGCTTGAGAAATGGCTCAGACCTCTGTCAGTTCAAGTTAAGATACCAAAGACATCAGTAATTCTCCAAATGTTTTTTGTGGTTCTTTTACCACATCCTTGTCCTATGGAGCACAGACATAGGTAGGCTTTTCAGAATTCACCATTGCAGCTTCCTTTCTGCTCAGCTGTTGGAATTAAGAGGGATCTGTGTTTACTTCCACTGCAGTGGTGAGGTTCTCCCTTACAGCAGTCTTCTGTGAGCAATCTCTCTGTCTTATTCATGAATTGCAGTAAAATCTTGCCAAAGTTAATTGTGGTGTATGAACTGACATATGATTTTATATAAAGCTACATAGTTATGGCTATGGCTCTCCAACACTGGTTGAGAATAGTTTACCAACAATGCAGGCAGAGGACATATGTGAAGAAACACTTTTTCCTGTAGATTTCTAGGTCCTTTGACGGGCATTTCCTTTCCATGTCTAGTGATAGATGAATCCAAGTTCAACAAGGAGGCATGCTTGGACATTCTGCAGAGTCTATGGGCCCAAATAAAGTCTCAGTGCACGTGAAGGTGCCATGACTATGATCAGTGTAATAAGCCTGTGAAAGTTTTAAAATTGTTTTTAAGGGAATAATTTGTTGAACCTGAACACTTAATGCAGTGTCTATGTAGGCTGACAAAAGGGATCCTTTTGGAAGAGCAATATGCTGGTAAGACTGATGAACTCTGTATGACATCAACTCACACTCTTCTACCTTTCCAGTTCCCAGAACAATTCCACAGAAAATCAAAGTAGAAAGCTCCATCTGTCATGAAGGGCAATTAAAGACTATTTTAGATCTTGTAATCCTGAAATGGAATGGTCCTTGGTGGATTTGTTTCCAATAAAAACACAAAGTGCCTGGTATGCCAACCCCAATGGGAAGGGAGACCAGAACTTATGATGGAAATGGTGATGCAATAACAAACTTCATGAAACCTTTTTCCCCCTTTCATCAGTTTTTACAAATCCAGACAGTTTTGGCAGGGTCAGTGGAAGACCATCACTTTCAGGGCTTATTCTATGAATCTGTTCTCTAATCTGCTCACAAGCCTCACAGGAGTTCATAAAAGCCTGAAGATCAAACTGAAATTCTCAGAAGGATGCCCCAATTTTGATGTCACTTCCTTCATGTTGTTTCATCATTGCCTTTTTGTTCAATTTCTTTTTGCTCCTATTATTGGTATATTGTACTTATTTCATACTTACCTTGCTCAGTAATGTACCTACTCTATTTTCTTTTACAAGAGATAGTTCCATTCTGGTTCTTTATTTACATCTGTTTTCCTATAATCATAGCTTTTACTTCTTTAAATTTATACTCTGCATCTGTAATGCCCAACACATTTACATATGTTTAGACTCAGAACATTTTGAACATGTGCTGATAGACTTTCAGATTTTTTAACATGTGTACAAGTGAAATATAGCTGATGTACAGCTATACACTGTACATCCCATTATGGTAGTTTTGCAGTGTCCACTAAGAGAGTAAACATGCAGATTTTGACTTGCCTATCTGGAGCTGTCTTCAGTTAAAGATCATATTGCTTCAATTATACCATTCCATAAACCCACTAGTATAGATACAGCTCTATTACTTTAAGGTAATTTATATTATTTTATTTATTTCTGTAAAATAGGGAGCTTCATATCAATGTGAATGTGTCTTTATCAGGACTTTTGCTGGCTATAACTATATTGAAAACAAAATGTTATTTGTGAAATGTGCTTACTTATTACATATAAATGCTTTACAGGTAACATGTTCATTATATGAATTTTTGTTTCAACAACCTAGCTGGTTTTGCTTTTTTTTCCCTTTGCTTCATGAGTGGGAGTAGCAGTGGAGTTCTGTGCATTATTTTTCTATAAGCATGATTTGCATCTTGTGTTATCTGCTTCAATGTTTTTTCCGTAAGGTTTAAGTTAAATTAAAGAAGGCTGTTCAAGGGGGAGGAAACAGAAAGCAAAGCAATAATGGAAACAAGTAGGTCATTAGAACTATTAGCTGGAAAGCGGTCCTGATAAGATCCTACCACAAAAGCGTGGTTTGCTGTCCCCAGTGCTGAAAGCCTAGGATCAGAGAATTTGATCTTTAATGATGTTGGTATATAAAGCAAGAAGCACTGAACTGATTTTTCCATGTTTTGCTACGGAGATGAACCTGTGAAATAGGGAGACACAAAGATGCAGCAAGCAGGCTGGTGGTCCCAGCCAAGAAGTGGGAATGAACCTTCATTTTTAACAGGTGATGTAAACTTAGGAAAGGAGATACGAGTTCAGAACTCCGCTTCCTTTGCTCGTCTTCCTGTGTACTTTATTGCTTTCAGCAATTATTAATTTTTAGTTTTTTCCTATTTTTGATTTGGAGAAGCTATTTTTTGAGCTTCTGCTGTCCATCAGTTACAGGTCACTGAAGATAAAAGTCTTGCAAGTTCCAAACCCATTTGTCAGGTTAAAATGTCCATTAAACAGGAGAATAAAAGACAAGACTTAGTGACAAGGCTGCAGGGTAAAATTGGTTCCAAAGAATGATGCTTTTAAAGGAGAGAAAAAAACCCAGTTACAACTGGCCAGAATAACACTTGGCTATGTAATGTGGCCACAACAATGAAAAAACTTTGAAGTAAGTTATTTTAGAAAGTATATTAACAATTTTCATTAAAACATACAGGAATTTTCCTAAAGTCATTGAAAAAAACCCCAACCCTATTTGTGTTATGCACTTTTTATATTTTGGCTATTCACAGCGTGGATAGTCTAATTTTATCCTTTAGTACTTTAGATGTACAGATTTTAATAAGTTAGTTTTCTACCTAATAAAGGTTATTATTTGAAATGAACCCTCTTCAAAGGCGTCCTTCTTCTATTGTTCTGTATTCTTAGCCATATGTTTCCAAATATGTGATTCCAGAGCTTATTAAAAGCACAATTTTTTCCCCATCTTTAATCACATTATGCCTGCTACTGTACATCTTGCTTATGGTTTCTCATTAAGAGCAAGACACTGTGATAATGCTACAGGAAAGGAAAGAATGAAAACACTCACCAGAGAAGATATTCTTAAGTTAAAGTTCTATCTGCAGCACAAATTCACCTATATTTGACACAAAAAATACTGTGGGAGTATTTCTCAATCGCCAGTTGCCTGCCTGCCTTCCCCACTGGCTTTCTCAACACAGGGGCTGCTTATGCCACCATTACCTTGTGCAAGCTCCCAGTGCCAGGGGCTTTCACTCCATGACATAACTGAGGACTAACTGAATTTTAATTCTACTAAGTTGCCAAGGTAAGACTGATTTGAAGCACAGTAAATCTCCTGAGTTATACACAGAAACACAGTGCTCTTTCAGTAAGACACCCAGTTTGATCAAATTGCTAGAACTGTGAAAGAGAATATGTGTAACAACCATGACATTTTTAAAATGTGCTATTGCCACTGTACAGAACACAATTTTCATTGCCCATCTTTATAATTATATACTGGTTGAACATGCCTGCACTAATTAGATACACAAACAATTTTTTATGCTGACTCTTGGTAGACTTGCCTATGTTCTTTCCTTCTCCTTTTTGCGTACTCACTATTTTGCAAAGTATCAGCAAGCCTGGATGAGTTTATACCTCGTCTTTATCAAAATTGGACAGATTAAACTCATCTATTTTTGATTAGGTTATTTTTCCTACATAGAACATGTGTTTGTGTTTTTTTTAAATCATGATCCCTACAAACAAGATTGACTAATATCAATAAACAAATTTAGCAAACACTATAAAGGCAACTTGCTTAAATTAGAAAAATAACACAGATGAGGTCTTGGGTTTCCAAGTTATCCAATATAAGTCCTATAGTTATCAATTTGCTTTTGTGATTAGAGACATAACTATTAATTATGCTATCATTATCCAAGAAACATCAAACTTTGTCAGAAATTTTTCAGTTGCTTAGATAAGAAGGAAAATACATAATGAGAAAATTTATAACAGGGTAAAAGCTATTATCAACCAGCAATAATATATTTATTCTACAAGTAAACTACACACATCTACCATATGTATCAGCTAATTTCTTGAATTTCTACAAAAATGAGTTTATATTATAAAGGTATTTGGCATTAGTTCTTTAAAACCCGATCAGAGATTAAAAAATTGCTTTCTCTTTGACCCCACCAACCAACATATCTGTAAATATTGCAAAAAAAAGTTACACTGCATTTTACTCACCCTCATCCTTCCATTTCTTATTGCTGGTCCATCTTCTGCTAACCTCAACACATACAAATCCATTTTATATTCCCTTCCTCCTCGAATACTAAACCCAAACCCTTTGGCTCCTTTTTCCAAATCAACGGTGAAATAATCAAAGTCCTGTACAGACAAATACAAAATGAAAGATAATTAACTACATGAACATTGTTGTATACATTCAAGAAAACTTTAAAATACAACTCATCAAAAATGCATTGATCCAATTGATACAAACAAAGGGATCTTACGCACTGACAGATTTTGGCCATTTCTGAAAAGACACTGTAGCAAGATGTAAACGCCTAAGTCTAAAACACCCTGAAAGAGTATTTTACAGCAGTTGCCTGGTACCAAAAGCTCTTGAGATGGGTTCCATATTCACCCTCAATACTTTCTTGGCACCCATGAAAGGGGTATAAATGTTTATGTCTATGGAGAAATGTTGATTTGGCAAGAGAGGTAGAAGGCAGTTGCTGTATAAGCATCATTGCAAGTAAAAATTGATAGGAGACATCTCCTAAATTCCAAGAAGTACTTAATGTGATCGGCAGGTTTGACTGCATGGAGTCACAAAGTATAGCAATTCTCATCACTTTGGTTAAATGTGTCCCTTGAGGAGGAGGTGGGGAGATTTGAGTTTTGCCCTTTGCCCTTTCTATGTCTTCAGAGACTGAGATTCACCTTTGCAGTTTTCCCTTGATTGGCCCAAACTACCACCTCTGTGCAGGGGCCCGGGGGGGGGGGAAATGGCTATTTATCATCTGATCCATTGTCAGTCAAGGGTGCAAGAGCTGTGGGAGCAGCAGAAAAAAAAGAGCGAGCTACAGTTGTGTAGTCTAGTGATTAGAGAATTGAACTGGAGATGGTAAGAAACAGCCAGTCCAAGCATCTCTCTAGATGCTAAAAAGCATCTTATAGGGTATGCATATGGGCATATGGATTTGCTATTTAGATACTGAAATGCACAATATTTTCACAGGGTTCTCTGGATCCCATTTTAGAATTTCACTATTTTTCTTGATTTGGTTTATGTGTCTGGCTTTGAAAATATGGACATAGAAATCATCTATACATGGTTCCAGCATATAGTGTCCAGAAGTTTACATTCTCTTGTTTAATATTTTTGACCTGTTTGTCCTACCTTTATGTAAAGAGAAAGGAGGATTTGTTTGAAAGTCTGAACTGTGAGCTAAATCCTCAACCTTCACAGCTTAAACATTTGTCATCAGTGGAGTCTTGTCCAAGGTACCATAATTCTTGATCTAAGGTATATTTGTTTGAATTTGTCAGATCATACCTGATGTCAAAGAAACTAGTTGAACAAGCTAGTTTCTACTCATCCAGACTATTACCAACAGAAACATAATTTTATCAGTCAGAATTTGCATTCATTTAGTTATTTATTCCAATTAGATAAAATATTAATTTTCAAGAATGCTGTAGAAATGCAGTCTGACCTAAGTACACCCATTGTTTGATGACTATGTCCCTAGGAATGAAAAAATTCCTCTGCTTATGCAAAGGCAGTTTATGTTAGAATTTTTATTTTAACTCTCCAGTACCTTAAAAACAGTGCTTATTTAACATTATATTCACACAATTATAAATGTAGTGTTATTTTACAGATTACACAGTTATTCATTAATTTTAATGGTTTGGAAGTAACTTCCTCTACAGAGAAATAGCAACTCGGAGTAAAGCCAACAAATGTGTCTTTTCCTTCTCTAATGTCATCTTCCTTACCAACATACATGACCTCTCCCCACACACCCTAATGCCTTCTGTTCAGGAGTGATTGGGTTTGTACCTGGGGTTGCCTGTACTCTGACAGAGGGTACTGCCTGGTGTCAGGAGAATGCTGCCTGTAATCCATCAGAGGTGGCTGCCTGTAGTCCAGAGGTGGTGGCTGCTGGTAATCCATCACTGGAGGATGCCTGTAGTCCAGTGGAGGCTGTCGGTAGTCCGTCGACGATTGCCTGTAGTCCGTAAACGGAGGTTGCCGGATGTCAGGTTTCACATCTTGTCTGGCTTTTACTTCTGATCTATAACTGAGAAAAGTGAAATGGCTTGGTTTCAGAAAGTTGCAAACCATTAGGAATATGCATTGCATGCAATATTGAGGAGGGAAAACAACCTGCCTAACTGCAAAATTGCACAAAACAAATTTTCACAGAGAAGCAAACCTCTCAAGGCATCCAAAAACAGTGAGCGTTTTTGAAATATGGGCATAAGCAATTTTCCCTCAGGTCATATTGTGCAATTTTCCAGTTTGTATCAGTGAGATCAGGATTAGACTCAAAGGGACAGGAACAGTAAGACATCTTGATTCCCACTTACCTTGCCTGTTTGGAAGATGAAACTGTATGTGAAAACGCCCACTATACTCACTACACTATAATTCACTGACTTTATAAAATGCTTTTTTCCAGAATTAACATTTTTATAGAATAAATGGAACATCAGTGTGGTTTATGCCCATTTCACTGACATAAACTATTATTATTGTGAGCTTCTTAAGGTTAAAAAAAGACATTCTTTTTTTAAAACATACATTCTTTGTCCTAACTGTTATCTTTTTAATGACAGGTATTCTTTAATATAACATCTGTTAATATAGTGTGCATTACTTTTATTATTATTCTACACTTCTGATAATACTATCTGGCTAAAAGTCTGTAGTAAGTCCTAAATAGTTATTCACAGAAATAACAAAGGGTGAAAGGAAAATAAATTTGGTTAATGAAGAATTTAATAACAAGTAAAATATTACTCTAACTGGTAACTGGTTATAGGGAAATGAGTCCTAAAATTTCAAAGACAATGTGATTTTCTGAGATACAGCGACTAGTTGTTTAATTTGCTCAGTTAGGAATTTCCCTTACCACATGGAATCAGTGCATAATGGTATTTCACACTTCAGGGTGAAGTAAAAAACATTTCTTATTGCAAACCTCCATACCTCAGCCATGTTGTAAGGCTAAGAAGCACAAAGGAAGTCTGGAACCTTTATAGCAAGGTAATTGTGTAATAGTAGTTTGGTTAAGATTTCAACAAAAATGTTCATATAGTGGATGTTTTTTTACATTCTTCCTTAGTTGCTGAAGGAAATACTTATTTCCTATACAGGTAATAGACATTTAAAACTTGGCTTTAATAATGGACTGGAAGTTTTCAGTCAACCAAATAACTATGTAAGTACATGGATACATGAAGATACAGAGACACATAAAGACTGTGGAAGGGATTTTGAAATGTACTTATTGATTAAAAGAAATTACATTCTGAAAAAAATGAGAGCATTGTTTTGATTATGTTAATTTACATATAAAAATAATCTGAATCTAAATGTTTCAAAATGTTTCAGATATGTTTCAAAATGTTGTTACTTTATTAATGCAGTTACAGTAACATTATGACAAATCTTGTTACTCAATAGTTTTAATGAGCTGAATGTCTAACCAGACACAAAAATATCTAAACTATTTCCCTTTGACTTCTCTGAGAAGATTAAAATAGCCTGCTGCCACATGTTCCTTTAAAACCCATACGTGGCATCTATAATAAGACCTGCACGTGAACATGCAATCCTCTTACTTTCTTTACTCAGTATCATGATCCTGTAAAAAGGAGACAGAGAACAAACAGGCTTACCATGATACTGAGCCTTATTAATACTGGAAGTAAAAATACTAGTTAATATTCCTCATCATCATGTCTGGGCTTCGCGAACGGAGATTTGGGGAGGGCTCTACCCGCGTTTGTTGCAAGCACGTTGGTGGCTAAAAAGGCCAATATGAGATAGACATGTCTGGTAATATTCCCAGGAGTTTTAAATATCTTATATTATTTTGGTGCAGAAACAATGTATGTGGCTATATAAACAAGCTGTAATCTAACTTATAAAATCTAGTGAAAAATAATACTATATGAACTAGCAGTAATGGACCTTTTTCTGAAATAAGAGCCATCCTTAGACAGGTTTCTAAGACACATATGACCACAGTTGTATCTTAGAAAATGAACCTTTTATGCACAGGTGGAGCTATTGCAATTTTTGTTGAATATGTAAATGGTGATATGACCAATTATAGCTTACACTTTTCAGTGGAACTTTAATTTATATAATTTTGCTGGTCCCATTTGAAAATTCCCAATTTAATTCTGACTTCCAACTGAGCAGAGACATTTGTGAAAGCTTTGTATTGAAGTTTATCAGAAACATACGTCTTCTAGGAGGTGATCACTTTTGGAAAAAGTACTCAATGAAATATAAGGCAAATTAATTTTCCTAGTGTGACTAATAGAGAGAAGGTAATTTTGGGCAAGTGAAAGTACTACATCTGTTAAGCAAGGAGAATTAGAGGGCGTAGTGTCTAAATCACAACTGAACTCAAGTATCTTCAGAAGCAAAAAGTTACAATCCTGTAACCAGCATCATTTGGGGAGGAGGGTCTTGATTGTGTGTGTTGGTTACTGAAGATTAGCATAAAGACAGTCAGTGTAATCAGCCTCATTTAACTTGCTAAAAAATAATCCAAAACCTAAATAGTGTTGATTGGAGGTCACATGAAGTTGTACCATCCCACAGCCTAAGTATGCTTTTTATATAGACAGCTGGTCAGATATTTTCTATCCCCCTACCATTTAATTTCCATTACAGATAAATTTGCTAATGCATATGCATAAATTACACATGAGAATTGGCTGGTAAATGATACATAACAGATAAAACCTGCTATAAAAATATCTTTCTGACTCCAAAACTCTATTATACAAGGGGAAGAAAAAAAAAAGACATGTAAGAAAATGAACAAACCTGTTTTCGTGTCCCTGTGGCTGGAGGGGCTGTGGAGGCGGTGGCTGGGCGACGGGGCTCTGCTGGGCAACGGGGCTCTGCTGTGCCAGGGGACTCTGCTGGGCCATGGGGCTGTGCTGCTGGGCCATGGGGCTTTGCTTCTCCGAGCTGGGGGCCGAGGCTGGGCTGTTCAGCTCTGTGTAATGGGAAACTGGAGATTAAAGACCTGTCACAGTGCAGCATTTAATAAAGGGCAAAGGTAGACAATAATAATTTTTTTTCATATGCTACCTCTGCAAATTTATGCTTTGTTGCTTTTACTCTCTTGGGTCATAATTAGATTTTAAGACATTTGAACCTAATGGTATCCTTTTGACAGTCTGTGGAATCTAAAATCTTGGTCACTTCTATAATTCTGGTTTATACCTTCATTATTTAAAAAACCCACCTGAACAAGGCAAATTGCTTCCATGTTTCACATTTTCTTTTAAAGCATAGAAATAATGATCATGGAATCCTATAACCATAGAATCATAGAATAGTTTGCTTTGGAAAGGACCCTTAAAGGTCATCTAGTCCAACTGCCCTGCAAAGAACAGGGACATTTTCAAGTAGCCCAGGTTGCACAGAGCTCTCTCCAACCTGGCCTTGAATTTTGCCAGGGATGCCAGGATGGGGCATCTACCACCTCTCTGGGAAATCTGTTTCAGTGTTTCATCACCCTCAGCACAAAAAAATCTTCCTTATTTCTAGTCTGAATCTACCCTCTTTTAGTTGAAAACCTTACCCCTTGTCCTATGGCAACAGACCCTGCTAAAAAGTCTGTTCCCCTCTTTCTTACAAGCCCCCTTTAAGTACTGAAAGGCTGCAATAAGGTCTCTGTGAAACCTCCTCTTCTTCAGGCTGAACAACCCCAACTGTGTCAGCCTTTCCTCATAGGAAAGATGTTCCAGCCCTTTGACCATCTTCATGACCCTCCTTTGGACTTTCCAACAGGTCCAGAGGACCCCAGACCTGAATGCAGCACTCCAGGTGAGGTCTCACCAGAGTGGAGTAGAGGGGCAGAGTCCCCCCCTCAACCTTCTGGCAATTTGCATCACTTCCTGTGATGCAGCCCAGGATACAATTGGTTCTCAGGCAAGTGCACATTGCCAGCTCACATTCAGCTTTTCACCCACCAATACCTCTGAGTCCCTCTCCAGAGGGCTGCTCTCAGTCCCTTCATCCCCCAGCCTGTACTGATACTGGGGGCTGCTCCCAACCCAGGTGTTGTTAAACTGCATGAGATTCCCATGGGTCCACTTCTTAAGCTTGTCCAGGTCCCTCTGGATGGTATCCTGCTCTTCAGTTGTATCAACCAAACCACTTGGTTTGGTGTTATCTGAAACTTGCTGAGGGTGCACTTGATTCCACAGTCTATGTCATTGATGAAGATATTAAACAGTGTTGCTCCCAGTATGGATCCCTGAGGGACACCACCAATCTCCATCAGGACACTGAACTCCAATCAATTCTTCATCCCTCGAACAGTCCACCCACCAAATTAATCTCTCTCCAATTTAGAGAGTGATGTTGTGGGGTACTGTGTCAAAGTCTTACAGAAGTTCAGATAGATGAGATCCATAGCTCTTCCCTTGTCCATTGTTGTCCACTGATTTAGCCACTACATTGTAGAATGACACTATATTGGTCAGGCAGGACTTACCCTTGGTGAAGCTGTGCTGGCTGTCCTGAATCACCTTCCTGTTCTCCATGTGCTTTAGCACAGCTACTAGACATTTGAAATGCTTTTCATTTAGAAAAAAAACCTTTTCATTGTGAGAGAATGAACAATTTTAGTGCTTTCACCGCTGTTTGGGATGACAGACTTGTCACAAAAGGCAAAACACCTTTTGTGTTATAAACATTGTGTCCTTATGTTAGCTCCTGCTGTCTTTGAGCTCATCAAAAGTTTCCCGTCTTTTTAAATTTTTGGGGACTGCAAACAGTAAAACAGTAAAACCAATCTCAATAAATTCTGACTAACCATTTAAAGTGATTTTTATTTCACTGTACTGTGTCAAAGGACCAAGGTTTCGCACAGGAACACTGCAGAGAAACAGAATCCTTCTTTCCAAACAACATAAAATTCAAAAAGACAGAGAGATTGGTGTAGGGAATGTGGTCTTGTGGCCTTGTTACAAATAAAGGATGCCAATCTTCCTTCAGGCTTCCTGCTGTGCTTGGGGAAAGACGCATTTGGCACTGAGCTCATAACAAACATATTTATTCCAACATACTGGTACAGTTCTGTTGTTCACCATTTACCTACTAAAAAGTGTAAATGAGAGAGACTCCAGCCACAAGATGACAGAGCACTGCAGAAGTTCTGCATTATAAACAGCAAAGGCACACATTGCATTTTTTCATTCCTGCTTGCAAGAGAATGAGGGAGGCCAGTGTGGTGTAATGCAAAGCATCCAAAATGGACTTCTGTATGGTATGGCAGAGCCCTCCTAATGGCAATAGCTACACATGATCAGGATCTTGCCTAGTTTTACATTTCAATATATTTTAATTATTTTATTTTTTAATTTTTAACATGTGAGTTTTTCCCTCTGACTGCACATTTCTAATGGCTCTGTACTTACCTAATTGATGCTTATAATTATTTTACAAATTTTGGCTACTTTATTAAAAACATTTTCAGTTTAGGATTAATTATAAAAAAAGCATGTATATTTGCACTTAAAACACTCCTCATGCAGGCATAAGCAATACTTGTCTGTGTAATTACTATGCTTAAGGCTGTAATTGCCCATTTTGCATCTGTGAGTCTCTTCTGTATTGCAAGTTTCAGAGAGGAAGATTGGAAATGTTGTCCCTCGTTTCTACATTACTCTCATAACTATGGATGAAACAGTCAAATCATGAGCTGTTTCTAAAACTGCTTTGCATTTATATGGTATTTTTCACCTGAAAGTATGTTACAGAGGTATTAGATTTTTTCCCAATTTTTATAAGCTGGGAAGCTAATATCAGAAGGCAAATGAGGTGTCCAGTGTCAAACAGTCACACAGGGAAGCTATGCCTTGGGCACAGATCATTTCTTACCACCAGCACCCGAGAACACATTGTAGCACGACAACTCAGATGCACTTCTGCTTTCTTTCTAATTTAATGTATCTATCTCTAACACCGAACTATTAATTATGTTATTTAACCTGGATACAGAGAGGCCTAAATAAACTGCATGTACTGTATGAAGCATCACACTTATTTGTAGATGCTTGCAAAGCTGACCTTCCGTAATTATACAGTTGCTAATTGATGTGAATTCTGAATTTGTGTACGTTTGTGGTTTTCCCTTCACTGAATTCATTTAACAAAGTAGATGAGTTCCCTCAGTTGAAGTCCATGACCAGTGTCAGACTATTTCCCTGTTCTGTTGCTGGATGCAGCAGCAGAAGATGAAGGTCGTCTAACTGGACCATGGATCATTAAGTAATTCCATTACTTGCTGTGTGACATTCCCAGCTGTACTGGTATTTGTTGCTGAGATATAAAACCATAGTCTCATTAATATGGTACAATTCATGCCGCAGTGTAGCACATTGTTAAACTAAAAAAACCCCCTGAAATCTGCCCCAAGCCCCATGGAACCAACATCAAAAGATCTTCACTGATTAGCTGTGGGGTAATGATCAGAATAATAAGTCTGTCCCCTTATCCTCACCCTCCAAATGAGATAATTTAGGGTTCAGTTTTTTCCTGCCCTGTGCATTTACAGTGCTATATCACTACATGATATTGATAGAGGAAACTGCCAAATCTGAACGTTTCCTTCACATCACTCTTTGTCAAGGTAGCTGGTAGCCTGGTGAATGCCATTGCAGTCTCTTGTGAATCACTTTGCCACACTTTGGCTTAGCTTTTGGCAAGATATAAGTGAACAAAGTTAAAACTTGGCTCTCTTATAGAGTGCTTTTCCAAAACACATTAACATCATCTCTCTCTGTCTCTCAGGTTCCTCCAGGTTTGCTTTAAATGCCCTTTTCATAAGTGGGAATCTTTTAAAGAATTCAGATCCTATTTGAGATAGTTCTAAGCCCATAATTTTGGTCTGCTGCATGTTACAGCTGAGGAAGCAGAACAAAAGATGCTCTTTCAAGCAGTGACATAATTTAAGCTAATTGGAGGCTACTTAAAATTTTCTTCCTGTTTTTAAGGGCCATTGACTTACCCTCCTGAGGAATGATGCGAAGAGTTACACTGAGACCTGCATCTTTAATTAGCTTCACAATATCTGCATGAGGCATGTTAATAATAGACTGGCCATTCACAGCTAAGATCCGGTCTCCAACTTTAAGTTTTGCACAGCGATCCGCAGGACTTCCATCAATTATCCGCCCGATTTTATGGGGCACAGCTAGACAAGAAACAGTCACAGTTAACGTATGCTGAAAAAAATGGTGATGTTCACAGGCAAAAGGAAATGAGTTCATTTGGAAGAAAGTTCAATATGAATTAAAAAACCGCAAGGATATAAATTCTTATGCGATGTCATTTGCATTAATGCTGTGTTTTTTCACTAAAAATTCAGAATCCAGCTGCGTATATATACATGGTACATATATATATATGAAGTCCAAAATAAGTTTATAGTTCAGCTATTTTGAAAACCTGGCACGTAACAAGATAATAAACAGATCAGGAGAACAGTAAGGCATTACAACAGGGGAAAGGGGATAAGTTTGCACAATAAGTAGTAGTCATAAATTGCCTCCCACCTCCTAGTTCACAGAATTTCTTTATTTGTATGTTGCAATAGAGGCACTACAGACATGATTTATTTTATATACAAATAGATGTAATTACTGAAAATGCCCAGGGTTCATGAAATTGTTCTCCTCCATTCAAATATGTTAACTGATAAATAGAAATAATACAGAAGATTTATTGAGATGTGCAGCTCTCTAACTAGATATGAATAATATATTAATAGAATTGAATTTTTGGATAACTATGAGTACACAGACATGTACTACATCACATCTCAGGCCCTTCTCAAAACATTATGGAACAACTTTGTTTCTCCTTTTGTTCTTCTCTGTGGTTCTCCACCTTTCTGTTTACTTCATCCATGCTCTTGTTCTGTCTTGTCCCTCATTTTCCATCGAATTTTCTAAATTTTCTTCTTGATTTTTCACCCAGTGTTTCTTTACTATTGTCCTCTGTTTTTAACTAAATGCATATGCTATGGCTGACTCTTTTCTCCAGGCTCTTTCTTTCTACTAGTCATAAATATGCTTATCACAATTAAATTTGACTATATATTCGATTAGTATCCTAGTGGTGTCTGAGCACCCCTCCCCAATCCCACATTTCAGCCTTGGCAAACTTAGCACAAAGCAATTCAGTCTCACTATCTATCTGCAACTGGTGTTTAAAAAGAGTTGTGTTTCATTTTTCAAAAATAATATATCCTTAAAATTTTATTATCTACAGAGAACTTGGAAAAGTGAAAGAAAAGATTTCAAACACTTTTTGGGAAATATGTAGGCTATCAATGCTCTTATAAACCAAAGCTCTAATCTAACAGGAGACGTGTTCAGAATACATTGCTGCAGAACAAATTTCTCAGCCCTCTGATAAACATTCTCTGAAGGTGAAGGTGACTAACGCAGATCGCACATCTCATATGAAGTCACAACACACATACCTCAAAGTGACCTTTGTTTCTAGTATGGATGCAAGTGTTTTTACAGTGTTAAAAATTAATTTTCTGAGAACTGAAAGTATAAGTGAACACTCTGAAGTGCAAGGCATAATCAAACTGCATGCTTCTTTACCACTATAGTTGAGACAAGAATATGAATTAAATCTTGGCTTTAGTAATACGGACACAATTAGTGTACTTCAGAAATGTCTTGTTGTTTAGGAAATAAGCACCTAACTTATGCCACAATGTCTAAATCTTTCTATGTTTTAAAATACACTAAATATGAGTAGACCCACTTTCTACAAAAATTGTTTATTTTTTGCCCTCAATGCAGATGTATAACTTACATGCATGTACATGAGTGAGTAAACAAGTAAAAGAGTAACCTGACACTGAAACAATTTATATTCACACAAAACCTTTTTCATCAAATCAATTCTTAAAGCATCACCAAGAGTCATTTAAACTAACACTAAAATGTACCTGATTCTGGTATATGTAAAAAAAGATCTGTCTGAAATTGTCATGTTTTTACTACATATCAGTGGAGATCTGAAAATGAGACTGTCTTATGTGAAAAAGTAGAAATTTAGTAGTAAGAAAGAACATGAAATATGCCATAGTCAAAATTTCTGTACTTGCCATTTCTACCCCTAAAGGTGTTTTTGCTAGACTAAATATTTGAGACATCATTTCAGTGGTGAGGGGTGTGGGAGGGTGGGGGGTGGGAAATCCTATTAATTTGCCAGAACAATTTCTGTTGGACTTCTTGTACCTGACAAATGAATAGAGCAGATGTCTGTATGTTTGAGATGTCTGCTAAAATCAAAGCTGGAGGTGGAAGAGCCATGAGAGTCTAATTCTGATTCAAATCCTGAAAAAAGGGAAGGGAGGGAGAAGAAGGAACTTTGTGTTCTTCTCTTCTTCCCTTTAAGCCTAACGGTCTTTACCTTCCCGATAAAGGTACCCACTCTAAATATTCATGTTATGAAAGGATCAACAGTAGGTGAACATCAAAACAAAGCTTGTGTCTGTCAAGGTACCTCAAGGTACCTCACTTGAGGATTCTACTGTATTTGAGGATTTAACGCTCCTCTTCTCAGGTTGTATTGGTGCCATGTGTTGTCATACAATCTTGCTGCAGAGTAGGGTGTAGAAAGTTTTTGCAGAAGGAATCTGAATCTCTAAATCTCTAAGGGATTCAAGGTGACACTGTTATACTCTATCAGGGTTTTATGTGCAAATCCAGTGACTTACTAACGGAACTCATAGCCATCCAGCAGAAACTGGTTTATGTCCATTTCTAGATAAAATGAAGAGAAACTCCTTCCCTCCCAAGTAATATCCTGAGGAGTTTCTGGTCTCTGCATCTCTTCCCAGTGGAACCCTGCCTGAGAATCCTCCTAAGCCACAATATCCTGACTGCCATGGTCCCTGCTGCTTTCTTGGGAAGGGAGGATTTATTTAAGGCTTTATTTATAAACATGAGTGCTTCTAAGGGATGCAGATTACATGATGTGCAGGTTGCTTCATAAAAAAAGACCACAATAGAATATATTGGGAAACTTAATTTTTAAGAGCCTTTGGTGGTGAAATACTTGCTTTGAAGGGATAAGAAGGAACTACTCTCATAGAAGATTAATTAGCTAAAAGCTAATAACAAAGGTAGAAATCAACTGTGAATTTTCACAATGGAGAAATTTTATCGTTCAGAATAGTCACATCTACAACAGGCATGGAAGAGCTGTAAAACCGTCAGTACCAAGTGGGTTCAGTGAAGTGGCAGACAAGATCTCATGAAAAGCAATGCAAGATGATGCACATAGGGAAAAAATAACCCTGCCTAAGCTTAAGCGGAGATGAGCCCTAAATTAATTATTATCACTCAAGAGACCTGGAAATGTATTCCTACTTCTCTATAAACACAAAATCAGTAAAACAGTCAATAGGTCTTAAAGAGTTAGAAAAACAATAACAAATGAAACAAATTATTGTTAGTTACTAGTGTACACCTAAAGTACTGCTGATAGTTTCAGTATCTTCATCTCAAAAATCATAGCAGTGAATTCACAAAGATTCAGAGAAAGGCAGCATGGCAGAAAGAAGCAGAAAAGAGCCTCTGCTTAAAGGAATGAGCCTGCTATGTCCATGAACTCCCTATCTACAGCTTGGGAGAGAGAAGGTGGGGCAACGTTCTGGAAGGCCAGAATGAAAGGCTTTAGAAAGGGATTAGACAAATTCACAGGGGTGGGCCCACTGCAGATTAAAACAGAAATTAATGGCTGTGAAAGCTGAGGAGATGTCTGGGGAAGGTGCTGTAGGCAATGTCCTCTCTGCCACTGGTCACAGCCAAGGGACAGTGCAGAGCTGCGTGGCTATTTGGTCTCTCCCAGGATGGCAGGTCTCTTCTTGGGAAGAAACCTCCCATGCCTGGCATTTAACTAGGGCTTTGTTGACACATTTTTTTTTCTTAAATAGCATCTTTGGTCCTTTATTTTATCTAAGCAGAGTATTTAATAATGTAATATAAAATAATGTAATGTAATGTAATAATTAAAGGAAGTCCCAGATAACTTGACTGGTGGTAAATAATTCCACTTGTCCTAAAAATTTTTAGAAACCTATTCATACCTCTTGTAAGAATTTGCCACAAGCTGTTCTCCAAAACATGTACATTTTGAACAGTGGCAGCATATGCCTGGATTAGACTTTGCAAAGAATTTGATCCACTTATTTCAAAACACTGAGTTGATTTAAAAGTAATCTCTGCATTCAGAAAGTGGATAAGATCTGTTTTCAGAAATTTACTGATAACTACGAATTAACATTTTTCTCTATATTTTTTTCTTTGATAAAAGTCACCCACTTTTCCTCTCCATGAGTGAAATTAATATCCTTCCCACACCTTCATGTCACAAAAAAGAAAAAGTAAATTCTGTGGTGTTACATCTGAGGGTCCATATGCTTGGGTCAGCTGTACACAAACCTAGAGCAGCTGCTGAATACAGATACTGCTTCTAACACTGTGTATCACAGAATCACAGAATGGTTGGGGTTGGAAGGGGCCTCTGGAGGTCACCTATTCCAGCCTCCCTGCTGAAGCAGGTTCACCCAGAGCAGGTTGTAAAGGATTGCATCCAGGTGGGTTTTGAATATCTCCAGAGAAGGACACTTCACAGCCTCCCTGGGGAGCCTCTTCCAGTGCATGGTTACCCTCAGAGGAAAGAAGATTTACAGAATGAACTTTGTTTTAGTTTGTGCCAATTGCCAATTGTCTGCTCCACCCTCTTGACACCTGCCCTTTAGATATTTGTATGCAAATATCTCCTCTCAGCCACCTCTTCTCAAGGCTGAACAGGCCCAGCTCCCTCAGCCTTTCCTCATAAGAGAGATACACCAATTCCCTAATCATCCTCCTAACCCTCCACTGGACCTCCTCCAGTAATTGCATGACTTTTTTGTACTGAGAAGCCTGGAACCGGACACAGTACTGCAGATGTGGCCTCACTAGGGCTGAGTAGAGGGGCAGGATCACGTCCCTCAACCTGCTGGTAATGCTCTTCCTAACACACCCCAAGATACCATTGGCCTTCTTGCCCCCGAGGGCACACTGCTGGCTCATGGGCAGATTGTTGTTCACCAGGACCCCCATCTCCTTCTCTGCAGAGCTGCTTTCCAGCAGGTCAGCACCCAGCCTGTACTGATGC